TTACGGTTTGGTGTTGCTTGAATTGGAGGAATATGTAGAAGCGATGAAGGCATTCGATAGAGCTGAAGATGCACCAGGAGTACAAGATGGCATCAATGAAGCAGACATCTTGACTAATCGTGGCATAGCCAAACAAAAAGCCGGAAAAACAAGTTATAAGAAAGATATCAAGGATGCAGCTGCTAAAGGTGGCAAAAAAGCAAAAGGATTATTAAAATCCATGTAATACGCATAAGGTCATTACAGATAGCCTTCTTGAAAATTTCAAGCTTTTAGATTTCAATTACATCACATGTCATTGTTGAACAATCATTCTGGGATAGAAGCAGAAGCTGGATGTGATGAAGCTGGTCGCGGTTGTCTAGCTGGTCCGGTATTTGCTGCAGCTGTGATTTTACCTATGGATTTCTACCATCCAGACATAAATGACTCCAAACAACTGAACGAAAAACAAAGGCAAGCACTCCGTAAAATTATAGAACAAGAAGCAATTTCATTCGCTGTAGCGAAAATGGAAGTGGATGACATAGATAAATATAACATCTTATGGGCATCCGTCAGAACTATGCACAAAGCTTTGGACAAATTGGCTGTAAAGCCACAATACATTATCGTAGATGGCAATAAATTTTTACCATACAAAAAGATAAAACACGATTGCATCATCAAAGGTGATGGATTATATACAAGCATTGCAGCGGCATCTATTTTGGCAAAAACATACAGAGACGATCATATGATAAAACTGCATAAAAAGTGGCCACAATATAACTGGGAAAAAAATAAAGGCTATCCAACTTCGGAACATCGGGAAGCAATCATCAGCTATGGTATCACGATCCATCATAGAAGATCATTTCAATTGTTACCACCAGATACACAGTTGAGCCTATTTGAATAGCCAATTTTAGCGTAAAGCACGATAATTATTAGGTATAAGATTACAATCATCATTTTCTGTGGTAGAATAGTGTCAATATTTTTTTACTTTTGCATCATGTAATCAGGATTAATCCAAAAATATTCAACCCATGATGCAATTTGATTTGACGGAAGAGCACCTTGCAGTGCAGCAAGCAGCTAGAGAATTTACTCAACAAGAGCTGCTGCCAGGTGTTATTGATAGAGATAGAGAAATGAAACACCCTACGACCCAAGTACAAAAGATGGGCGAGATGGGCTTCCTTGGTATGATGGTCTCTCCAGAATATAATGGTGGCGGTATGGATACGATATCATATGTCTTGGCGATGGAAGAAATCAGCAAGGTAGATAGCTCTTGTTCGGTCATCATGTCGGTCAATAACTCCTTGGTTTGTTGGGGATTGGAAACCTTCGGTACAGAAGAACAAAAACAAAAATATCTGACAAAACTGGCAGCTGGTGAAATCATTGGCTCCTTTTGCCTATCAGAACCAGAAGCGGGAAGTGATGCTACCAGCCAAAGAACAACTGCTATAGACATGGGAGATCATTACATCATCAATGGTACTAAAAACTGGATAACAAATGGTGGAAAGTCATCAATCCACCTAGTCATAGCGCAAACATATCCTGAAAAAGGACATCGAGGTATAAATGCACTTATCGTAGAGACAGCCTGGGATGGTGTAGTCATAGGCGCAAAAGAAGATAAATTGGGAATCAGGGCATCAGATACACATACGATTATGTACAACGATGTAAAAGTACCTAAATCAAATAGAATTGGTGAAGATGGTTTTGGCTTCAAATTCGCCATGAAAGTACTATCAGGTGGCAGGATCGGTATCGCAGCGCAAGCCCTCGGTATCGCAGCAGGTGCCTACGAACTGGCTGTAAAATATTCGAAGGAACGAGAAGCATTTGGCAAACCTATCAGTCAGCATCAAGCCATCGCTTTCAAACTCGCCGATATGGCCACAGAAATAGAAGCTGCCAGACTGCTAGTATATCGTGCTGCATGGATGAAAGATCAAGGCATGGATTATACATCGGCTGCTGCAATGGCAAAACTTTTTGCATCTGAAGTAGCTATGAGACA